ATGAACATACAGTCCATAAAGGTAAGTAATCAAATGCAGCCGAAGCCACGAAACAAACGTGAACACATAGTCCACAAGGGTAATGCTAACCAAACACAGCTTAAAGCTATAAAATCAAATGCAGGTGTTAAACCTACAAATAACAAACGTGAGAACAGAGTTCACGAATATCAAACTAACTAGTCATTAACCATGGCGCATCAAGGGCTAACAAAACTGTCGTTAGCATCCAATTTTTGGTAATAAGTCCCTTTAAAATTTAATTTCAAATATGCAAGAAAATCATCAATAATGAATGAAATTTTCATTTTCAAAGTCGAATTCGCATAACTCATTCTCTGTATCAATCCAATATTTGACAGAATAAAAATCTCATAATCAAAGTCCAAACTTGTTTTAATTAATCAAATAACGTTTCAAATTTGGTAAAGCTAATTTCTCAAAATAAAGTAATTTTAATCAACAAATATTCAATAATTGCATTATTGCTATTAAAATGATGCGTAGAAAAATGTAATATTTTAGTAAAGGAAATATTGATTGAAAAAATCAATTGGGACGCTATCCACTTACCTATAATGTGCCCAAGTACTTGAATTCATTTCTTAAGATTTCAATCAACTCTTTCTTTTGGCTTTAATTGAGATTTTCTTTCTCCAAATCCCTTATTCAATAATAATAATAATACAAATTTAGTGATCATTGCCCAAGTTTATTAAGCTCCCTTTCAATAATGACACCATAGATATTGAGTCCTAAATCAATCTAACTTATACTCTAGATAAACTAATCCCTTCAACACTATTATGTATACATGTCACACATTACAACGCAAAGTCTACTGTCCAAATTAGTTCAAAGGAGTGGAATAGATAAATCTTAACACTAATATTTCTCAAACATTGCATCAAATGTCCAACTAGTTACACATCACCTCCATAATCATCCAATTTGTTTGCAATACTCAAGTGAAACTCACAATAGTTTCATAATCAAAATTCTTTACCAAAACTTAAGTTAAATCCATGAATAATTAGCATTCAAGTCGAGTATATCTTTATAAAAGTTAAGAGTTAATGAAATTTAAGAAAACTCATCAGCAAACAAAACTTTTTCTAATAGACATATCATCAAACATCCCAAAGATATTTCAAAAATGGATATAAATAGTGATTTGGTTTTTAAATTACCAACTCAAGTATTTCTTCCAAAAGTTTCTAAATCCTACTTTAACTTTCATTATCAAAGACAATTGCCTTCCATGATTGTTTAATCATTGATGAGATAATTATCACAAATATTTTGCTACCTTAAATCCAAAATCTCCTCTCTTTTTTTCATACATTTTATTAAACATCTTCTATTTAGCATAACACTTAGACCAAGCTTCTTCCTATCCCATTACTATTTCCCAAAAATCCTCTAACACTAAACATATATATATATATATATATATATTAAACCCATTAATTCAATAGACAATTAACTCTAATTTCTGTATTTGAATAAGTCTAGTTTACTAAATTTCATTTCTTCAACATAAAAATCAGCCTTAATTGATAGAAAATTCCAATTTATCTATTATTATATAGCTCTTAACATTAAAAATTTTAGCTGGAATCAGTTTATTAATCCTATCCAAGACTCACAGTAACAGAAAAGGAAAAAGAAGAACCATCAGCTAACTCACAGAACATACACACGCACACCCCGAACCACAAATGGGAAGAAGCTTGAAGTTTCTATACCTCAAATCATCAATCAATCATAGAGAAGGGAAGGAGAGAATAGAGATCATGATGAACGGGGGAGAGGGGAGAAGATTGACCTCCACAACAGCACAAGTTTTTAGCAAGCATAGAATAGAGGAGAAGACTGACTGTGACATTGTCAGAACTTCTTGCAGCGGTAGACGGATAACGATGGAGGGAAAGGAAAAGAAGATCTAAATGCCCACAATCGCACAGCTAGGAGAACCCAAAATCAGCGCTGGTGCTCTTATTCAAAAAAGGAAGAATGTTGAAGATGACACGTGAAGATGAGTCACAGCATCAATCCCAGAACCGGCGATGGCGACGAAGACGGAGGCTATGGTCTGAAGCTCTCTTTCTCTCTCTCGCACGCTCACCTTGCTCTGGAACATTCGAAGCTGAAGACAGGTAGAGAAAAGGAAAAGAATCTGATGCGTGCTCCCCATTCCTATTGTCTCTGTCTCTATTATTATGATTATATTTATTATTATTATTTTCGGGACAAAATGGTAATTTGATTAATTAGACAACCACAATAAAATATCTCTTTAGACACCACTGGGATTTGATCACCAAACCTCATAAGCAAGAACCAAGATGGGTTTCACTAAACCAATAACATCTCTTATTATCTTTCTCCTACAAATTAAAAAAATACAGTAAATTTATCTTATTAATTATTCTAAATTTATAATTATAGCTTAGGTATACAGGTGCACGGAGGAGTCCTTGAAGCTAAGTGGTATAAATTCACTGTCTCTTTTGAGTATTTTTAAATTATGATTTTTAATATGTTATATTGTTAATGTTAGAGCTTTTTGTTTATTGACCATTGTAGGAATGTAATAATATAATCATATCCTTCAAACTATTTTTGCTTTTAATATACTTTGGATGACTATAACTTTGATATCTAGTTCATTTTGGATGGTTTAAAATGGCATGATTATGGAGCCAAATAATTGACTTATTCTGAAAATTGATTAAGTTATTTATTTTAGTTGTTGGTCTATGGTTTGCACTTTTTTGGAGCATAAGATTTGAAATGTGATTTTAGCCTAATGACATGTAGGAGGTAAAAATTTATCTAAGATGTTATATTGTGCAACCTTAAGCTAATTATTAAATATTTTTATATTAGATTTATTAATATAAAATATGTTGGGTGGCTGTAACCCAACTATAGTTGTAGATATGTATTAGTTATATCAAAAATTATTTTGTGTTATTTGAAATGGTTGATAGGTGGTTATAAAATTTTAAAATGCAAAACTATTTCTATTTTTTCTATTCTATTGTGTTCATCATATTCTCAATTTTAAAAGGGATCTTTTGAGCCTTTCACACTTATTTTGTTTTTAATTGCTTGGGATCCCTAAATTTTAGAAATAACAATTTAAGGAATTTAAATTCTACTTTCCATAATAATACTTATTTATCTAGTTTTATCTTTTCTACCATGATAGTTATTTTAAAAGGTGAAATATTTTATAAAACTATGTTTTATCATTTCCTACCATGATAGTGTTTTAAGTTACATAATTGTTTCAAATATATATATGATTAGTTAACTTTGGTTTACTATGGTAGACAAATATATATATATATATATATATGATTAGTTAAATTTTGTTTACTATTAACTTTTAGAATTTTATGTTATTTCATCACATTTTTCTTAAATTCTAATCCATTTTGGCTCAATTGTATATGTTTTTATCGCCCAAATTAAAAAAATGTGCATTTTATTTTGAGTTTGTATTCTTGGCTTTGATTTGTTATTTTTGGCCTAATTTCATTTTATTTTGGTTGGAGTTTTGATTAGAAACATTTTTGGAGCTTTATGGATGTTTTTGGAAGGCTTTTGGATGAAGAAATCAAGCATAAAATGAATAATTTTCATTAGCTGCAAAAACAGTGCAAAACTGTCAAAGTTGTGACTTTCATTCGTGACCCAGAAGGCATTCTTTAGACTTTTAGACACATTTGGAGCTTGGGTGTGTTAGGGTTTGGGCATTAGAACTGCTTGAAGCAAGGGAATGGAGTTTTGTAGATATTTAGAGCTTCTTTTCTTTGGTTTTTCTATTCCTCTTCCTTTTCCTATCTTGTATTTTGAAATGGGTTTACTTATTTTGTATATTTGTAGCTTGTGGATGATTATGAGTAGCTAAACTTTTTGTTCTAGGATTATTTGAAACCCTTGTATGGATTAACATTATGTTCCTCCTCTCTTTTTGTGATTAATGATATATATGTGCTTATTTTACTCTTTCCTTAATGCTTTTAAGTGATTGGCCACCATTTAGATGTTGAATTCACTTAATTGATGCTTGAGAGGGCTAGGTTGAGTGTAGAACTTGGGTAATATTCTGCAAGAATTTGATGTTTGCATGTTGAATGGATGATTTTGCTAGTAAGATAGAGATATACTTGCTAGCCTTGCATAGCCACATTAGGGTTGGTGTTTAAAATTGAGTTTTATTAATCGTAATAAGAGATTGGGTAATTAATTTAACTAAGCACATGTTCATGACTTGAGAGAGCTTGTCCAAGTATTTTTAGAACCCTAGGTTAGCACTTATTCTTATTAAAAGCATTTATGAGAGGAAGTAATTTTGGTGTCATGAATTAAGGGCGATAAATAATCCTAGGTCCTAATTTGTGTTTGAAGTTTGTGAATCAATTACTTTTCTTTATTTTCTAGTGTTTTAGTTTGCAAAAATCATTTTCACCTAATTATTTTTGGCCTAACTTAATTGAACTCACTTAGTCTTTTGTTTGATTATTTATTTTGAACAAATCCTCAAGGGAATAATACTTTACTTTCATTATATTACTTGCTATAACCCATGCACTTGCGGTGAGCAACAAGTTTTTGGCATCGTTGTCGGGGATTTGGTTTTGAAAATATTTTGATCAACCTTAGACTAATGATAGTAGATTTCGATTGAGCTTTGTAGATTTTAGTTCTAGATTTTTATTTTGTCTTTGTTTAGTGTTTTTGTTTTAGTTTGATACTTCTTTAGTTGTTTTCTTCTTTAGGTACCTATTTGGCACATGCAAGCCATAGGCCTAGAAGGATTGGAAGTTATATTTGAAGGATTAACAATCTTTAAAGAAGCTGAATCTCTAAATTTTGAAAGAACTCTTGAAACTCAACTTGAAAACATGGCAAAAGACTAGTATGACAATGCCTCAGTCAATGACTTTGCTAATTGAAATTTGAGGGTTACTCAATCTTGTATTCGAATGCCGGAGTTTCAAGTACATACTTTTGAGATCAAGCTCGCCATGATCATAATGCTTCAAATGAATGGGGTGTTGCATGGTCTATTCAATGAAGATACTAACAAGCATTTGATGTCTTTTATGGAAGTATATGATTCTTTCAAACAAAATGGGGTGCCTAAAGATGTCTTGCGCTTACGATTGTTTCCAATTTCTATACAAGATAAGGCTAAAGAATGGTTCAAAAATCTTCTTAAAGGTTCTATCGATTCATGAGAGGATCTTGAGAACAAGTTTAGAGCTTGATTCTTCTCTAATGATAAAACAGTGGAAGTAAGAGATGAATTTCTTAGCTTTAAGCAATATCCAGATGAGCATCTCTATGCAGCTTGGGAGAGATACAAGATATTAATGAAGAAATGCCCTAATCATAGGGTGTATAAATGGGTAGTGATTCGGATTTTCTATAATCCATCTTCTAAGGCCATAGTTGATTCTATCACAAATAGGGGATATCAAAATGTGCCTGTTAATGAAGTTTTTTGCCTCTTAGATCAATTGTCTGCAAACAACACTCAAAACATAGATAGAAGGAATACATCAATGGTGATTAGTACTAAAGATGATTCTTCTTCCCAAATTGTAGCCATCTTGAATACAATGAACAAGCATTTTGATGTGTTAGGATCTCAAATGCAAAAGGAAAATTCTCATAATGTGCATGCTGTCCAAGCCATTCCAACTATGTGCAATCAATATAATGATGTTCACATGCTCGATCAACGTCCTCTCTACATGACCATTGAATCTGTCAATTACATGGGCAAGTTTCAAAATCCTCACAACAACCCTTACTCTCAAACATACAACTCAAGATGGAGGAATCCTCCTAACTTTTCATGGAGTTAAGGGAATTCTTTAAATCTACCTTCTTCCTCTAATGTCAATCCAATTCACCCTCTGGGTTTTCAAGCTCTACTAAAGCCAATGTTGGTTAAAGAAGAGGAGTCTAAAATAGAAAAGATGTTATCACAAATCTTGAGTAATCAAGAGTCTGCAAGAGTTGAAATTAAGGCAACTCTTTCTCTTCATGAAACCGCAATTAAGAATCTCAAAGTGCAAATAGGGCAATTGGCTTCACAAATGAATGCTATGTCAAGAAGCAACCTCCCTAGTGACACCATTCCAAATCCTAGAAAGGATGGTAAGGAGAAGTGTAAAGCAATCATTTTGAGAAGTAGGATGCAATTACCTAGAGTTCTTATGCCAAGTGCAAGTAGTGTGAGTAGTAGTGCTACTAAGGTGGTTGTTGATGATGAAGTGATTAATGAAAAAATTATGGTTGAAGAGTGTGACAACTCAAAAAAGAATCAAGAAGAGAAAAAGAGCGATGATAAAGCTAAAAAAGTTGGTAATGAGAAAAAGCAACAAGAGGCCAAGCCAAAATATGTGCCTCCACCACCTTTTCCTCAAAGGCTTAAGAAGCAACAAGAAGAGGGCCAATTCAAAAAGTTTCTTGATATGTTCAAGTAATTGCATATCAACATTCCTTTTGTGGAAGCCTTAGAGAAAATGCCCAAGTATGCTAAGTTCATGAAAGATGTGCTCTCTAAAAAGAGAAGGTTCAATGAGTTTGAGACGGCTACTCTAACCAAGAGTTGTACAGATATCATTAAGCAACTACCTCAAAAGATGAAGGATTTTGGTAGCTTCTTAATTCCATGTCATATTGGAAATAAATTTTTGAGTAAGGCATTATGTGATCTTGGTACTAGTATCAATCTTGGTGCCTCTTTCTATTTTCAATAAATTGGAGTTGGGTAAAGCTAGACCAACAATCCTGACTTTACAATTAGCGAATAGAAGCTTGACTTATCCACGAGGTGTTATTGAAGATGTTCTTGTGAAAGTAGATAAATTTATTTTTCTGGTTGACTTCATTGTCCTTGATTGTGAGGTAGATCATGATATTCCTATTATCTTAGGAAGACCATTCTTGGCAACTGCTAGAACCTTGATTGATGTTGAGAAAGGTGAGCTTACTATGCAAGTGGATGATGAGCAAGTCACTTTTAACATGCACAAGTCAATAAAGTCTCCCAATGATTTTAAGCAATGCTTCTTTGTTGATATGCTTGATCAAGTTACATAAGAAGAATTCAATGAGGCAATTCCTAATAACTTTTTGGAAGCCTTATTAATAGGAGCTCAATTAAAGACTCAAGATGGAGAAGAGAGTATGGCTATCATGAATGCATCAATCACCAGTTTATTCTAGAAACTATGTCCAATTTGAATCTCTAGATTTATCTTCTCTTGATATACCATCTTTAAAATCCTCTATTGAAGAGTCACTATCTCTTAAGTTGAAGACATTACCTTCTCATCTTTAGTATGTCTATTTGGGAGCCAACAATACCTTGCTAGTGATTATTGCCTTGGACTTGAATGCATAACAAGAAGAGCAACTTGTGGAAGTCTTGAAAGCTCACAAAAGAGTTATTGGGTGGACTGTTGCCTACATAAAAGGTATTAGCCCTTTAATTTGCATGCATAAGATTTTCCTTGAAGATAATCATAAAGCTTTTGTGGAATATCAAAGAAGATTGAATCCAATTATAAAGGAAGTAGTGAAGAAGGAGATCTTAAAATGGCTTGATACAGGTATTATTTATCCTATCTCTGACAGCTCTTGGGTGAGCCTAGTTCAATACGTTCCAAAAAAAGGGAGGCATGACTGTATTGGCTAACACCCATAATGAGCTAATTCCTACCCACACTGTTACTGGATGGAGAGTTTGCATGGATTACTAAAAGCTAAATACGGCTCTAGGAAAGATCACTTTCCTCTTCCTTTTATCGACCAAGTGCTTGACAAGTTAGCTAGAAGGGAATTCTTTTGCTTCCTTGATGGGTATTTGGGCTATAACCAAATTGCCATAGCTCTAGAGGATCAAGAAAAAATGACATTCACTTGTCCTTATGGAATTTTTACTTTCAAGTGCATGCCTTTTGGGTTCTGCAATACACCGGCCTCTTTTTAAAGGTGTATGATAGCAATTTTCTCTGATATGATTGAGCACACTATATAAATCTTCATTGATGACTTCACAATTTTTGGGGATTCTTATGATGAGTGCTTAACCAACTTGGACAATGTGTTGAAAAGATGTGAAGAGACTAACTTGGTCTAAAATTGGGAAAAATGTCACTTCATGGTTAAGGAAGGCATAGCTCTTGGCCATAGAGTCTTTAAAAATGGCTTGGAGGTTGATAAAGCCAAAATTTCTATGATTAAGCAACTTCCTCCACCTACTAATGTCAAGGGTGTAAGGAGCTTTCTTAGCCATGTAGGATTTTATTACCGCCTCATCAAAGACTTCTCTAAAATAGTCAAGCCCCTTTGCACTCTTCTTAAAAAAGATGTTGAATTTAAATTTAATGATTCATGCTTGAAAGCATTTGAAAAGTTGAAGAAAAGACTTGTGTCTACACCTATCATGATAGCTCCTGATTGGAGTTTGCCTTTTATTGTGATGTGTGATGTTAGCAACTTTACTGTGGGTGCGACGCTCAGTCAAAAGAAAGATAAAGTTCTTTACCCAATCTACTATGCTAACAGAACACTTGATGATGCTCAAGAAAACTACACCATGATTGAGAAAGAGCTACTTACAGTGGTGTTTGCTTTTACTAAGTTCAGATCATGCCTTGTAGGTGCTAAGGTGACAGCTTACACTAACCATTCAGCTTTGAAGTACCTATTCAGCAAGAAGGAGTCTAAGGCAAGGTTAATTCAATGGGTACTACTTTTACAAGAATTTAACTTGGAGATTGTTGATAGGAAGGGTACTGAGAATAAAGTAGCGGTCCATCTCTCTAGGTTGAGTACTGAAGCTCAACTTAAATTTAATATTGTTATTGATAAAGCTTTTCTTGATGAGCAATTCTTTAAAGTTGACAACATTCAAACACCATGGTATGCAGACATTGTCAACTATCTTGTTTGTCACATCTTGCTCTTTGATTTGAAGTTTCATCAAAAGAAGAAGTTTCTTTATGATGTTAAGTTGTATTTTTAGGGAGAACCTTATCAATTTCACTAATTTACTGACCAAATGATTAGAAATTGTGTTCCTAAGTGTGAACAACAAGAAATTCTAAGATATTGCCATTCTTCTGACTATGGAGGCCACTTCGGGGGTCAAAAGACAGCATCTAAAATCTTATAAAATGGTTTCTATTGGCCCTCTTTATTCAAGGATGTATATGAATTTGTTTTAAAGTGTGATAGGTGTCAAAAGATGGGTAACATTTCTAAAAGGAATGAAATGCTACTCAACAACATGCTTGAAGTAAAATTGTTTAACGTGTGGGGCATAGATTTCATGGGACCATTTCCCATGTCTTTCAACAATCAATATATCCTTGTTGCTATAGATTATGTCTCAAAATAAGTTGAAGTGGCGGCATTTCCCATTAATGATGTTAAAGTGGTGCTTAAGTTCTTAAAGCAGCATATTTTCACCCACTTTAGAGCACCAAGAGCCATTGTGAGTGCTGGTGGTACTCATTTTTGCAATAATTAATTTCAATCTCTCTTGAACAAATATGGTGTCAAGTATAAGGTTGCACTTGCTTACCATCCTTAAACCAACAGGTAAGTCGAGATTTCTAATTGAGAAATCAAGAAGATACTTGAGAAGACGGTAGGAGTGACAAGAAAGGATTGGTCCACCAAACTCGACAATGCATTGTGGGCTTATCGAATAGCTTAAAAACTCCTATCGACATATTTCCATACTGATTAGTTTTTAAGAAAGCATGTTATCTATCTATAAAGCTAGAACATGCTGCTTATTAGGCTATCCAAAAGCTCAACTTTGATTTTAAAGCTATGGGTCAAAAGAGACTTCTCCAATTGAATGAACTTGATGAATTTCAGTTCAATGCCTATAAGAATGCTAGTCAATACAAGCAAAAGACAAAGAGATGGCATGACAAGAAAATTCTACGTAAAGCATTTGAGCCAGGCCAAAAAGTACTCTTATACAACTCTAGATTGAGATTATTTCCTAGTAAACTCAAATCTAGATGGTAGGGACCATTCAATGTGGTCTAAGTATTCCCTTATGGTGCTGTTGAGCTAGAATGCATTGAAGGAGAAAGATTTAAAGTCAATAGACAATGATTGAAGCATTACTAGAGTGGTGAGGTAGATTGTGAAGTAGTCACCTTGCCTTTATCTGATGCCTTTTGAAGAAGATAAGAGTCAGGCTAAATGATTATAAAACAAGCGCTACTTGGGAGGCAACCCAAGTTTCAAACTTTATCTTTTGATTTTTCCTTTATAGTTTAGTTGTGTTGGTGAAGTTATGTGTGATCTTGTCTCTTTTGTAGATTAATAAGGAGATATGAGGAAGTATAAGTCTTTGGAGAAGTAAAAAATGTAGCCAAAGAACAAAAGAGCACAAAAGAAAGGAAAATTTCAAGGAAGTCAAGCTATTTAAGTTGTTTTTATGCTTATAAACTTGTCTTGGAAATTATTTTGAGCTTATTGAAGTAAATGCAATTTTTTGTGGTTTGATTCCCATGAAAAATAGTTTTTTTAGGGGTTAATTTCATTTTAATTGAAGGAAATTATGTATGGTCGATAAATGATGGTTAGAGATTGATTTTAGAGTGAATATAGTGCTTGGAAGAGATTTTAAAAGGTGAACAAAGCAGATTTTTGAAAACAGAGTGCTGCAGAATTTTACTGTCAAGAAAGTTCTGACAAAAGTCATGACTTTGGGCTCACAAAGAAGATGAAAGTCATGACTTTCATTTCAAGCTTAAATCCAAAGTTGTGACTTGCATCTTCTTTGGACCTGTTATTTTTTTTGTTTTTAGTTTTTTTAAATTATATA